GAATGTGGGGGGGGGGGGGTATCCCCTGAGGTTGGCACCCACCTGCGAGTCGGCTCGGCGGTGTAGGGGGGACAAGGGTGGCAGGCGGTGGCCGTGCCCTTGGTGGCATCGCCGAAGAAGCCGGGTTTGCACTTCTCGCATTGGGGACCCTCCGTGTTGTGCTGGCAGTTCTGGGGGGGGGGACACACACATGGCACGGAGGGCTGGCGACACCGCGCCACGTCCCCATCCCCTTGTCACCCCCCCCCCTTACCAGGCAGTGCCCAAAAACAGGGTCGCAGGTGCTGGAGTGGCCGTGGCAGCCGCAACCAGAGCAGGTCCCCAGGTAGGGTCCCCTCGTCACGCGCTCGAAGCGGGCGGCGCATCGCTGGCACGACAGCCCCGCGTAGCCCACGGGGCACCTGGGGACACAGCGGCGTGACGGTGGCATCGCGGCAGCGGCGGCACCAAACCCGCCGCCTTGCTACGGGCGGTCACCTGCACTCCTCGACGTCCCCGGCCAGCCCCAGGCCGGTGTCACTGGGGCTAGTGATGTCCATGGCCACGTCGCTGAGCCCCACGCTGGCCATGCGCCCGTCGTAGACCGCCCGGATGAAGATGCTCTCCAGCCCCTGCAGCACCAGCAGCAGCAGCTCCCGGCTCACCGGGGCGCCCTCCTCATCCTCCCAGTGGTCCTGCCGGGACGGTGACACCGGTGTCACCCTGGGGTGATGCCAACGCTGGCATCACCCACCTGCCATCACCTCCATCTCCTGCCTGCCACCACCGGCATCACCCACCCACCACCACCGGCACCACCATCACCCTCCCACCGCTGCCACCACCCACCTCGGTGAAGGGCACGTGCCGCCGGTTGAGGACATCGGGCCGGGTGGCTCCGGCGCGGGCCTGCAGCTGCCGCCCGTGGCCCCGCAGCACCACGTCGGGGTGGGCGGTGGGCTCAGGGGGTCCCCGCCCCAGCCGGTACCGCACCCCATAACTCAGCGCTCCCCCGTAGGCATCCACCTGGTAGCATCAACGGGCTGTCAGCGGCTGTGCCGCCGGCGTCCCCAGCCCTGTCCCCACCCCGGTGTCACCTTGTCCCCAAGGAAGGTGTCGGGCAGCGCCCAGAAGGCGTCGAGGGCTAAGAAGCGGCGGGACAGATCCAGGAGCTGGAATTCCTCGGCGCTCACGTCCACGTGGAGCTGGGTGGCCGAGAGCGCCGGCGGGGGCGGCGCCGCCGGCACCGGC